GTTTTTATTATTTTTAACCAATTTTTAAAGCGCTTTCCAAGTCCCTATTTTTTTTTAATAAGGCTGTTTAAACAAAAAACAAATAAACGACAAAATCAAAAACAGTTTTAATCAGGGTTCGAATTTGCACACACATGCGCAGCACATCCTAACATTTTACGCTAACACACGTGTGCTGTGCATATAAAAAATTACTCACATCACATGTGTGTGCCGTTTGGTAAAAATAGAGAATGGTAATGTAACGAGAAGGAGCAAATGTTAATGTTACATTTTTTTAGTACTACTAAATTCTGAAAGGTTTGAGATGCGGGAGTTCACCAAAATAAATATTTGATGCGAGAGTTCACCAAACTAAATTTTTTACCACAGAAAGAGATGAAATTTTTCACCTTTTTGCACTTGCTCTTGCCACATACCGTTGGCTAAAAATGAGAATTGGCTATTTGAAATTTTTTATAAGAAAAGCGGTGAAATGGTAAAAAAAAATACCGAAAATGTGATTTGCCAATTTTTAGATTTTGTCAAAAGTCGAAATGCGCCAAAATTGTAAAAAAATGGGGAAGGGGAAAATAAAAGCAAGTCAACTAACGTCCAAAGTTGTCAAAACGAAAAAATCTTGTAAGCGCGCGGTTGTCGTTTTATAAAAAGTGAATTTTGAGTCACACACTTTTCAATTAACACTTCATGTAAATATTAAAAAAAAAAATTAAATTAATTAAAAAAAATATATGATTGTACATTTGTGGCAAAGATCAGAGTTTCTGACTGGAAACTCCTGGCATCAAGCATTTTATCCATACGTACCAAAATATGAATTTATAAAACCAAATAAGCATTTAATCATTACTTTATTTTTTTTTTGCTTAAAAATAATAATTAGTTATAGGAAATTTTTATTAATAATAAAAATTTCGGGACTTATTCCTTTTATTAAAGTGTCGCTATCTCAGAAAAGGGCATTTTGAGTTTTTTGAATAATCATTACTCTTAAGTGAAAAAATAAAACTCAATAATTTTTATCTTTGAGCGAAAAAATAAAAGTCATAAAATAATCACTATTTTTTATCAAAAAAAAAAAAATCGTTTAATAATAATTTTATTTTGAGGGGGAAAAACCCAAGTATAAATTATTAAATGTATGAAATCTTTATTGGTTGAACTCGAAAAATAAAAAATCATAAATTCCAGTCGAAAATATGTCGCTTATAACTTGTTCATTTTTTGGTTAAAATTTAAAAAATTATGATAATTTTCCGTCCCTTTTATAACTATGAACTGCACACTTTTATGACATAAAAAAATCAAATTAAATAAAATATAATCAGGTAAAATAAACTAATAAAATAAAATTATCAAACTAAATTAAATAAACTAGTAAAATAAAATAAAACAAAATAAACTAATAAAATAAAATTAAATTAAATTAAAAAATAGTAATAAAATAAAATAACATTTAGTAAAATTATATTGA